ATAATAATAATAATAATAATAATAATAATAATAACAACGACGTAAAAAAAAAGTTCAAGTTAACTGTTATGTCAAGTACTCTACACCGATCTCTACAAGGCGCGTTTTTGTAAGTTAAGTAATAAAAGCGTCTTAAGATAAATGTATGTAAGTTATGTTTGTTTTACGATTTGGTTATTTTACAAAAAGATTGGCTAATTAGTAAACAATTAAAAAACACGGTCTTTTGTATAATAACCTTAAATGTTCGATCATTTTACGAACAGGCAAGTAAAGGCATATTGGTAAATTTGCAAAATAACTTGCAAGCAGACCAAAGACCCCGTTTATTCGCTGGCCGGATACCGAACTATCTTGTTCAGCAGTTTAATCACAGGTCATGATGTGACCTCACGCCACTCTGGATCTCCAAACCCTGAGGCACTGGCAAGGTGACCCATGCCACACCTGAGCTGACGAAGACGGTTCTTCCCGCTCTCCCGGCATTACGAACAGTGCCCGTGGAGTGTTTACTGGACCAACTATGGGTGAAAGAAAGGAGTTTTACTTGATGCTCACTGAAGCAGAGGACAAAAAAGTGGACAATGCATCAAGTTTGTTGCAGATGTACCAGAAGGGAAGTTGCCATTACAGACTCCGTGGGGCACAGACAGGGCTTCATCAAGTGTAACTTCCCTAAGCCTTGTCACTGCAACCGCTGTAGAGTTACAACTATAAGACTATGTACAGCAGCAGATTAAGTGCAGCTCATCAAACAAATTCGAGTAATAAGAACTGATAATTGTTTATTGTTTTTATGTACTGAGGAGACTTTCCTTCAGGGTTTTTATCCTTCAGTAAAATACTGTATTATTTTCATTTGTTTTTGTTTTTTTATCACCGAAAATAGACATATATTTTGTGAATATTGTCTAGTCTTTATGCAAATTGACCATTAAGATTAGAAGTCATTTTGTAGAATAACCAATATTCTTGCATATTTGCAATTTTGGCCGAATATCAAAGGTCATTTTGCAAAATGACCTTGTTTTTGGCCTATTTGCAAATTAACCTGAGTTTTGCAATACAAATGATTTTACAAAAACAAAAAATATAAATAAGTGTATGACGTCTACATTACTCTATGCATCCAATTAAAACTGTTATGGCGTTGCACTTATCACTCGCTTATATAACACAACAAGAGAGCGGAGGGTTTATGATCCAGAGCTGAACACACAGGCCTTTGTTTTTATGCCTTACTCGTATATACAGTCCTTGGATGATCATATGTACTTCAAAGATATTTCTGAAACAAAATTACAGATCTACCAACAAACTAGCGATAATAAACTGTTTATAACCCACATGTCTGCGCTGTTCAAGTCCAGGCACCTGGTTTGCCTAGGACAGTTGATAAGTACGTTTTTGATGGATGGCTGTAGTAGAAATATGATTTAGTGATACATTTGCCGATTTCAATATGATTTTCAGAGTGATTTGCCCAAGTCGTTTCTCAGGCATAAGGTTTTAGTCCGGCCTTTAGAAATAATGCCCAGTCGAATTTCCCGCCTGTTTAACTGTTGGTCGCGGAGCTGGTCGCTGTTAAAAAAATTATTTCATAATACAATTTGACTGCTTTCGTTTATTCCCAAAACTGTAAAGCATATTTTAGGAAAGAAAATTAATATTTGGTAATTCTTACAATTAACATAGTAACAGATTTCATGCAACAAGACGGTCATAAGATATTAACTGTGAGCATCTTCCTGGCAACAAAGCAACACTGGTTTATTGACTTCGTCCCGTAGCACTATATGGAACGCCCACGGACTGCCTTGAATCACTCGTTTCCTGTGATATGACCTTCAGAAGGCTCAAGTGGCTCTACCTGTAGTGCTAGTGATCTTATTTTAGTTTTAAAAGGAAGAAGTTTAATGGAAAATCTTTACTTCATTAAATATAGAAAGCCACCAGGGAAAATTAAACACAAATATCGTATAATGGTGACAAGTAGATCCAGACATGACTTGTGTATAATATAGTCAGGTCAGATTATGCTGTTGACTTGATCATGTCCTGTGGTCAGTAGTATAGTGTACATCTTGTGGTGGTATAGCACAACACTGCAATAAAAGCCCCTATGGTGAGTCTATGGATGATTACAATGGCTTTGTGGCTTACGTGCAACAATAGAAGTCGTTGTCTTGCTGGCATTAGGTGTCCGATTTTAGTTCTCTGGCTGAGGTAACGATACCGAGGAGAGTACGTTGTTTTATCTCACTATCTACCTGTTCAGATAATTTGTATATCTTCAGGTGAAATGTTCATAAGTTTACCTCTTTTCTCTTCTGCACATTATAATTATACCATTTTTTTTCTTACGTACTTTGTTCAGTCAACTCTTTCCAAGTGTAATATAATCCTCAGTTACCAGATATCACAAGATAGTAAACTACTCCTTTAAACGCATCAAAGTATCAAATGTCAGAAAGTAACATTCATACGATATATGTATTTTCTTTCTGTTTTTTGTTTTTTTTTTCGTTCTTTCAGTGGGTGAGGTTACCATCTCCTGGCACCGTGTTCAGCAGCCTTGGCAATTCTCTACTAAGCCGTTCTTGCCAAAGGCGACATGACAACAATTTAACCGAGATCCTCACATTGTGTTGGGAAGGGCTGCCGGAAGCGTGGGTTGTGCCGGGCCTAAAACCAAACACCTTGGAGAATGTTGCCTCAGATCTATCGAGGGGAATCACAAAGTCTTAGACTTTTGGTAAAAAAAAGATACATTTTATCGCATAGAATTCAGTTACGTTTGTTTTGAGTATATTGCGAGAGAATGTTAGATGGTGGTGGAATGAGACAATTACACAATGGAAAACAATAAAAAAAAATCTGATGAAGTAATATATGATTAGTATTGTCATTAGGTAGTTATACTCTCTTGCTATCGGTATAATAGTCAAATGGCTTAACCAATTATAGGTATGTGATGAAGTCATTATTTAGATGAATTCAAGGTAAAAGTATTAAATAGCTGTATTGAACTGTCGGTCTATACTGATAAAATATTCATAATGATCGATATGAATAATAAGTAACTGTGATGATTATTGGAGGCAATTAGGACCAAGTTTTTGTACTGCTTTATTGTATAGGCGTGAAGATCAATTGGCTGCAAATACATATTGTCGGGTCACTGTCCAGGAAACGTTACAGAACAAAATAACAACACAGGTTCCGGAAGTGGAGTGTAACTGTATTTAATGGTGGACGCAGGTGAGTGACACACGGGCAGATTTTAAGAAAAGTAAAAATCATACAAAAAAAATTGGATTACCTGAAAATTAATCCCCCAATTTATTTCACCTAAATAGTATTTACTCTACCGCTAACCTGACCTAACCTAACCCTACTAGGTAGCCTTAGGGTGATTAATTATTAGGGTGAAGTAAGCTGGGGCTAATCTTCAGGTGATCCCCCTCAAATACTGGAGACGAAGAATGTATTAGGTAACATCTTTCTATAAGCTGTTGAACGAATACAGTTAAAATTTCATCAGTGATTTTTGTCAGTTCGTTTGAAACGAGGAAATATTGTAGTACTTCCTGGTCACGGAAAGGTGGTGGTATGGACGATCACTGTCAACCATTGATGCATGAAGAAAGACGAATTCTTTAGAATATTATCAAAACAGAGATCGAGTCTCCACTCCGGTAGAAGACGTTAAAAACTTGCTGGGGTCGGAGGAGAAAAATGTGGAGAAGGAAACTCATAAAAAATAGACGTGAAACACGGATTTTTTTTTAGAAAGCAGACCTGAACATTTGGACACTAACTAGGTCGTTGAGGAGAAGGGAAACGTTTTTTGAGTCTGGCCAGAGTACCACAGCAGCACATCACCATTCTGAAGAAGTTATCTGTGTTTATGTTGCTTTATGTGAGCACAATAATAAAAGAATCTGCGTTCGGCCATTAACATCAAAACACTCTCTCTAGGGTCTCTGCTAAGGGAAAATATTCATGTAAAGTGAATTTCAGAGGAGCTTATAGATGCTTGCACAGTAGGGGTGGCGGGGCTAACTGGGTTACAGTAAGAACAAGGGTTAGATAATGTTTGGCTTTGGATACGACAGGTAGCGAAGATGCTGAGAGAACTGGTTCACAAGCGAGCAATATTGTAGTAGGAAGTGAGGTATGAAAAGGAAGGGATGACAGAGCTGGGAGAGGAGGGTTGGCAGTGGTCTTTTGTTTTGGTTACAGGATATCGTCTCAACAGTAAAAGTTGGCAAGAGGTATGCCAAAAGAATGTTCAGAAGGGCGCTGAGCGTTGTAGACTCTCAGCGTGCTAAGATTAGGTTATTCTCTTCGTCTGGGCACCAGTTACTGCTGGTACAAGAAATATAGACGAATACATCAATGCAAATAAAGGAAGAACTTCGCAGCATCTCTATGATGATGGTACTGGCTATTGAAAATCTCCAGGTCCGTATAGAGTATGTATATATATATATATATATATATATATATATATATATATATATATATATATATATATATATATATATATATATATAAATAAATATAAAGTACTTTCGGTCTTCCCTGGGTCCTCGGTTAATATACAAATGTGTTATAAATTTTCAAGGCGTTAACTGGAAACCTGAAGATGTTACATAAAGTAGGCGTACAGTATTGTCTATCAAGTTTTGGGATAGCGAAATATTGAAACGTAAGACGTGAGATTCATAAGTTTACTTTACAGGTAATCTAACATTAACTGATGAGTCACAGGTAACTTCCGTGACATAAGTAGTTATAATTTATGTGTTCTTGAAATACTGCAGTACTTCTTCAATGTTAACATCAGATTATTACGAAACTCCTGTTATTAAAAAAAATCAGTCTCCTGGTTCCTTAGGTACCGCTGTAATGGGTGTGCCAAGACTGAAACATTTCAAGCCCGATGGTCACTGCGTGCGCCCAGTGCTATTCTTACCAGTAAGAAACTTATCCCCTCCGCTCTCACCTTACCTGGTGCTGGTACTTTGAGAGCCTCCCTCAGATGGGCTCCAGTGGGTGTTCGGGACGGTGGTGTGCGAGTGTTAGTCTGTGAATTTTGTCGTAAGTAATAATAACAATAATAATAACAGTAATCTGGAATATCTGTGTCAATTTTCGGTGCTTATATGTGTGTGTTTACAAGGTGTGATTTTGTTAGTAAGATGGTACTAGCCTACCTTTGTTATAGTTCACGTGAGATGCTGTGTCTAATGTCTTAACACAGGACTTGAAGATTTACACGAAACGAAAATTATTCACATTTCTAGAGGCATCTAAAGTTTAACGGATGAATATTGTATTTTAAAGCTTTTAAGAAGAAAATAAGTGTTTCAGCAGAAGCGAGGGCAATGATAGTTTGGTACCTTAGGTGATGATCCACACAGAATTTAGCTGAAGCAACTAAGTCTACATGTATTGTTATCGTCTAGTGTGTGTGTGTGTTTGTCTGTAGGGAAAGTTGAATAATTGAAAGATCAAGATGTATTTGTTTATTTTTAAAATATTTTATGAAAGTGCCATAAGGTTTGTATTATCTTTACAGGACGAGTCTGCATCTATATAGCGTTAGTTTATACACTGTGAGCACCACACAACGACGACATGCCTGGTCACGTCAAGAAAAGCACGGGCCCCGATCCCGACCCCACTGAATTCTTGTTCATCTCAATGGAACAGAAAATGAAGGACCAGAGCAAACCTTACGATCCGAAAAAATCTTGCTGGGTGCCACACGACAAGGAGGGCTTCATCGAGGGTGACATGCAGGGCACTAAGGGCGACTTGATCACCGTTTACGCAGGTGGTGAGACCAAGGACTGGAAGAAGGACCTCGTTGGACAAGTCAACCCTCCCAAGTTCGAGAAATGCGAGGACATGTCCAACTTGACTTATCTTAATGATGCCTCCGTCCTGTACAACTTAAAGAGCCGTTACGTCGCCAAGCTCATCTACACCTACTCTGGTCTCTTCTGTATCGCCGTCAACCCCTACAAGCGGTACCCCATCTACACCAACCGTACGGTCAAGATCTACCAGGGTAAGAGGCGTAATGAAGTGCCTCCTCATCTCTTCGCTATTGCCGACGGTGCCTACATGAACATGAGGCAACGTAAGTATACAGCTTGGCGAAATTAGTTAATATATACATATATATATATATATATATATATATATATATATATATATATATATATATATATATATATATATATATATATCATGTAGATCCACAATGAAAACGTGGATAAGATAAATCTTGATAAAATCACAGGAAGGAAGACAACGCCGTTGTTCCCTTTTTTTTTGTTTATAATATATAATATATATATATATATATATATATATATATATATATATATATATATATATATATATATATATATATATATATATATAAACAGAAGATATATTTTACAATAGTGAGAATGAATGAAGGGTGTCAACAAAGGAGGGTAAATAATGTATGTGAGTTATTGTTCCTCTTTCCGCCACACTGCATTAACCAAGAAGTGTTATTATCAAATATTCCTTAACCTTTACATCATGTAAATGAGATAAATATGACAGGAGTTTTTCACAATTTACAGCTATCTCGACTACTTATTCTTAACAGCATCAACTTTGAATCTGGAAATGTATCCACCAGCATTCAAGTTCTTTGGCTTTTCACACATACACACACACACACACTCACACAGACACAAACACACTACTACTACTACTTTGCTGACACTCGGAATCGAGTATGACGATCATCCAGCTATGATACAATGATATGAGTTATTAGGGATGTCACCTTCATTGGTAAGTTTTGAGGTGACTAAAGAGGCCGATACGGGACCGGCAGAGTCGTTCACAGATGTTGCACATGTGGAGGGCTACATCGAGTGCGGGAGGGGCGGTGGCAGCGTCTTTCTGTCGTTGGCACTTATCTGCCTCGGTTTGCAGTTGGGGTAACTCGAAAGTATTGACACCTTACTGTGTGGTACTCCTCCAAGAGTTACGGTGTGGAGTAATCGTCTCCCAGGTAAGGGGGTCGATTTGGCACTTTTTCAGGCTTGTCTTAAGACTCTCCTTATACCTTTTCAGTTGCCCGCCGGCATTATGGTTACTATAGTGACTATAAAGTAGCTGCTTTGGCAGTCTACTGTCGTCCATGCGGATAACATGGCCAGTCCAGCGTAGTTGTTCATGGATAATGGTAGCCTCGATGCTCCTACAGTTGGTGTCAGCAAGAATACTGGCATTGTTCTCTTGTGTTCCCAGGGAACTCGGAGGAAGGAACATAGACGTCGTTGGTGAAAGTTTTCAAGTGCCTCCTGTATGTGACCCATGTCTCGTTGCCATATAGCAAGGTGGGGAGAACCACTGCTAGATATACGTGAAACTTTGTAGATAATTTTAGCTCCCTACAGCTAAAGACTCGGTTTTGGAGTCTGCTAAAAGGCTTGAGATGCACACCTGATCCAGTGCTGAATCTCTTCATCGTTGTCTGCGGTGGTGGACAGGTGGAAGCTGAGATACCGAAAGTGGGTAACATTAGAGAGGGTAGTACCGTTAAGTTGGATGAATGGTGGAGGTGTGTCTGAACCAGGGGCAGGTTGAAAGAGAATCTGAGTCTTATGTACATTCACCTCAATGCCGAAGTGTACATAAACATCTGCGTAGGTGCTCAGGATCTCCTGTAGATCGCGTTCAGTGTGAGCAACAAGAGTGAGGTCGTCCGGATACTGAAGTTCAGTAAAGGAGGCCTTTGTTCTTGCCTGGAGTCGTCTTAAGTTGAAAAGACCCTTAGTCTGGTACTCGATGTCCACCCTGCTGGCTAAATTGGCACTGGCAAGAGTAAGGAAGGCAGCCAAGAAGATGGAAAAGAGAAGTTGGTGCCAGTACACACCTTTGTTTAACCCTTGTTTGGATAGGGAATAACTCAGACAGGGTGAAATTGTGTAGGACACTGCCATTCATGCCAACGTGGAGTTGCCTCACAATGGCGATGAACCTTAGGGACAGCCAAAACGGCTGAGGGTCCACCAGAGGGCTTCCCTGTTGACTGAGTCGAAGGCCTTGGTTAGGTCGATGAAAGCCATGTACAGATCACGACGCTGTTCTCTGCACTTTTCCTGTATCTGGCAGGAAGCAAAGATCATGTCAGTGATGCCACGTATTGGTCTAAAACCAAATTGAAATTCTAGGAGGAAGTTTTCCTCCTCAGGAAGAAGTCTGTTTAGGAGGACTCGGGCAATAATCTTGCCAGATACGGAGAGCAGCGAGATCCTGCGGTAGTTGCCACAGTCTGACCGGTGTCCCTTGTTCTTATAAATATTGATGATGGAGGCGTCTTTAATTGCTTGGGGGATTTCCTCTTTTTCCCATATATTCTCCAGGAGAGAGTGGAGACGGCTGGTAAGCAGAGGTCCTCCTGCTTTATACACCTCGGCTGGGATTCCATCAGGCCCAGAGGATTTGTTATTTTTCATCTGTTTGGTGGCAGTAGGTACCTCATCCAGGGATGGAGGATAGCTGAGGTGGGTCAGTTCTGGATGCTGAGGAAACCTGCTGGGTAGTCAGGACATTCACATTGGTGTTTCGGTTGAGCAGTGAATGGTAGTGCTCTTTCCCATGCTGAAGGAGGCCTTCATTGTCTAAAATTATGGAGTGATTGGCCCGTGAAATGTTTTGGTGGAATTGAAAAATTTGCACATCTTGTGCTGATCTTCAAATTTTATGTTTTACATGCTTTATTGTTAAACCAGTCTTTCTTTAGATTACGAAGTTCTTGCTGGGCCACAGCTTTCTTCTTGCAGAAGGTATCAACTTTGGTCCGACACTGAGGGTTGTTCTGCCAGTTAGTTAAAGCAGCACGTTTATCATTGTAGAGTATATTGAGTGACGGGTCATTTTCATCAAACCAGTCCTGGCGTATTCTTTCGATCTGGTCGAGGGTCTCTCTCTGCAGGTTTTTGACATAACAGTGTTGAGAATATCCCATTCGACACTGGGATTTGGGTTGTTTATTGTCGGGTTGTTTATCAGCTCATGAAAGCATGTTCTACCACTGGATCTTTTAGATGCTTACTGTTAAAACATCTTCTACAAGCATGCTGCCTTTGCCATTTTGGGGCGACGTGAAGTGAGAGCATGGTTCTCACGAGCTGATGCTCAATGTCGCAGTGGTCTGAGCCACACATGGCACGAGTGATGAGGACATCTTGGAGATCTCTTTCTCTGACAATGATATAGTCAATGAGATGTCATTGATTGGATCGTGGGTGTTGCCACGAACCCTTGATCTTGTCGGCCTACCTAAACAAGGTATTGGTGATAGTGAGGTTGTGTGCAGCACACTTTCTGAGGAGGGGTAGGCAGTTGGTATTACACTTGCCTAGTCCATTTCTCCCTATGGTTCCCTGTCAAATGTCAGCATCTCTGCCAACTCTGGCATTGAAGTCTCCAAGAGCACAGCCTTATCTTCTCTGGGGTTAGAGGTAAGCACTCTGTCGAGGTCAGAGTAAAAAGCCTTCTTGATGTCATCCTCTGCATCCAGTGTTGGGGCATATGCACTGATGAAAAAGGCATGACGTGAGTCATTCAGTGGGACTCGAAGCGTCATGAGGCGCTCATTTATCCCAATAGGCATTTCAGTTAGGCTGTGTTGGCGGATGGCAAAGCCAACTCCATAAATGAGGCTTTTTCGCAGCAGGCTTACCGTTCCAGAATAAGGTATATTCAGATCCTCGTTCTGTGAGTTGACCCTCGTCTGGGAGTGGGGACTCACTAATGGCTGCTGCCACAAGGGCAGTTCTTTTTTCAGTATGCTTATTTGTGCCAGTATCCAGAAGTGTACTGACATTTCATGCAGTGACATAAGAAGTGATATAATTTGGTCTTGTTTTGATCTGTTTCAAAAGGAGACTAGATAGATTCATGGATGACAGAGAGTGGTAGTAACTCTCGACAGGAGATGCCATGCACAGGCCAACCGGCCTATTGCAGACTCCTTATTTTCTTATGTTCTGTGAATTTGATTGTGTTTTCGACTTCATAAGGATGACCTTACTGGGTGTGGTTGCCCAGTCATTTTTTTTTTAGGCAGGCTATGTTTAGGGCACCTTTTATAGACCCCTCCCCATGTGGGTGTCAAGATTGGCTCCACGAAAGGTTTGCTCAGTCGCACAGACAGGACTGGATTGCACTGTTGCCTACATCCCAGTGCATAAACGATCATCTTATCTTTGCTGGCCGTGTGCAGAGTTGTGACTAGAGACTCCCAGCAGTCATCTCTTCCTGTCCCCGTCGCCACTTGTCCATCGCTATATGACTTTTGGGGGTATAGGGGTTTTGATGACGATGTGATGTATGATGAGGTGGATGATGGCTGTGCGTGAATTGATTTATGTGGTGAGGCAGGGGAACAGGCTGCAATGACACACCTTGGCTCTCCCTTTTCCTGATCCAGTGGTGGAAGTGTTGCAACGACTGGCGGGTGGGGGGGAGTCGCAATGGACTGTCGATAGCTCAGTTTGTTGGGTTTTGCCTTAGTAGCCTGTTCATCATGCATTGCCTTTGCCCACGAGTGTGGTTGTTGGGTTTCTATGGTGGTCACCTCTTCTGCCTATACCGCTGTTGGGGCTCTGTAAGCATGTCTGCCTGATGTGGGGCTCCACCGCAGATTTTTCGTTCAGGGTTTACTCCTGTAGCCTTATACCTAACAAGGTTAATCCGCAAGGCAGCGGGGCAATGGTTGATAGGTGCCAGGACGTGTCCACATACCAGTGGGCCTATGTGCCGTCCCTTTGGGGGCCACTACTACTCGATATCCCCTGATGGCCTTGCCTAGACCCACGGGGCACCCAGTTACTGTGACTTGCCACGAAGAGGCACAGCAGGAGTCTTGATGGTGAAGAGGCTGTGTACTGGTAGGGGAAGACTTATGCAAGTTGATTCCCTGTTTGCCTCGAGGGCTAGCCAGCAGCGGTAGCTGAAAGTGAAAGGGAGCAAGAAGTGCCTGCACTTCAACACTAACATAATGCTGCCACAGTAGACGCATTAAACCACCCTGTGTGCGCTACAAAAACACACACACATGCTTGACCTGACATCACAAAAGTTAACAGATACTTGGTTCTGTACATGACCCACTATCAACATTACTACATACTATTTGTCAAGTCTTATGTTCACACATATAATGGATCAAATTATATTTTAAAGTCAACAAGTTTCCCTGAAACTTGGCACAAAGACTACTGTAGATCTCAGTAAAAGAGAGAGACCAGAAGATCGATTTATCTCAGGCACAGGTGACATCTCAGTCTAATCTTTCCCCTAACTTAAGCTCATGTTAGGCTTCTGGTGTGTGGATATATTAAATACAAACACGGGTCTGTACAGTAGGTTAAGTTACGTTAGGCTAAGTTAGGTTAGACTAAGTTTGGTGAGGCTATATATGGATTTTCATTTAAATGTATTATGATCATTTACTGTGCACGATTGTCTATGATTCCTTAGAAGTTTCGTAAGAAAAGAAGTTCATAGAAGTTAAAGCTAATCAGCAATATATTATTATTACTCTCAATTAAGTCTTGGGGAGAGGTATTGTTTTTATTTGCACATTAACAAATTTTACTCCAACGATAATTGTCTTAAGTCTGTAGGACAAGAAGTAATAGACTAGGAAGAGGTCGCCCAAGGACACTGGAGTGAAGCCAGAGAAACCCACAATGGTATTCCCCAACCTAAATATATATCCCGCTCCCATCCTTACCATACGTAGGCTGCACTCACATTATATATATATATATATATATATATATATATATATATATATATATATATATATATATATATATATATATATATATATATACATTATATATATATATATTATCACAGTCTCCCATTTGCTGTAACATAAATATAATCAGGATAGGGAACTAGAGCATTTACATAAAAAGTATATTAAACAATAATGGTTTCACACATGCTGATAGCTTCCACAAGGTTTACATTAATATCAGTCATATATCTTAATCCAACAATATGCTCTCTCTCTACTTTACAAATATGCTTCACAAATAGATTATAATATCTTATGACTACCAGAAAACACTGGAATACCCTTGCAACCTGTGGGTTTTTCACGATACAAAATACCATGTCCTTCACCAATAATACCCGGAATGAGAGAGACAGAGAGCTTCTTCTCCTTATTCCAATACGATTTCACGAACTTATACACATTTTGTTTACATTTTCATTTAAACCACTGCAGCATTCTCACATTGAAAACTGTTTCACAAAATCATATATTAATGTTCCTTAATCATATCATTTAATAAAACATATCATAAATCAGAATAACAAAACATATATCACCATCTTAAGAAGACTTTAACCTTCACAGTGATTATAGGGTGTCAAGAGAAAACGGGACACATAATGGGATGACTGAGAAAACCATATGTACATAATAATATATATATATATATATATATATATATATATATATATATATATATATGATAACCACAAGGAAAGATGAAAACACATCTTCAGGGGTGTTCTCACCCCTGAAGATGTGAATTACACGAAAGCGCTTGGGAACTTCGTGTTTTCTTCTTTCCTTGTGGTTATCAGCATATACCTAGATCACGGGCACCTACAGTGATTTACTTGCATGTATATATATATATATATATATATATATATATATATATATATATATATATATATATATAATCATTAGCCTAAAATCAATCACACCCGCCAGGATTCGAACCCACGATCTTATGATTGTGGGTTCGAATCCAGGCGAGGTGAGGTTTTATATATATATATATATATATATATATATATATATATATATATATATATATATATATATATATATATATATATATATATATATATATATATATATATATATATATATATATATATATATATATATATATATATATTGTCAGTGGCCCAAGGTTAAAAATGCTTTGAAAACCTTTGATCTAGATGTATGATAGTTATTTAGTGGGTCCCTTATTTTTGACCTGACCTGACTAGTCACGTCACCCCCCTTCTCTTAAGCTCCTCTACGTGTGTGTTGGTGTGGGGATTAGTGGATGACATCATTATGACCTGACCTCATGTTTTTAAGGTCACCCTGTATATTTAAGCCTCTCTCTGTCCATGTAATCCAGTTGCCTCTGAAGATGTCTTGAATAAAGACGAAAGCTAAGGTGCTCCGTTGTTTCCTTTCCCGTAATTTTATCAAGATTTATCTTATCCACGTTTTCATTGTGATCTACATGAAATATATATATATATATATATATATATATATATATATATATATATATATATATATATATATATATATATATATATATATATATATATATATATATATATATATATATATATAATTTTCTCTCTTGAGTCATTCTTGTTCATCAACCATAAGCAATATTACTTATTAAATCTTGTTATTTCCTTATTTTAGTGTTAACCGTCAGCTTCGTGCAACACATAATTACACGAAGTTGTCTCTATGACCAATAACAATTTTGTTTTGCTTGCATTGCATAACTTTACTTGTGATGAAGCTAATGTTGCAATTGTCTTGCTTGCCCCTGCTTCCCTGCTTCGAGGAAGTGCCCATGTTTGGCGTTGCTGGGCCAAAGGTCATGGCAATTGTTTCTAAAGGATTTTTTCTTTTCAAATCTTAACTTCAGATCCCATGCAATGATGAACAAGATGTTGCATAGTTATAATAGTGAGAGGAAGTCATTTAAGGGATATCTTATTCTAAGGTCAAAGTAATTGTTACCTAAAAGTGTTGTTTCCGAACAGCAACTTGACTCTCTTTACATTAGTGATCATAATATTGTATTGAGTCTAGAGGGAGGTTTTTCTTAATGCTTTTATAATCAATTTGGTCAAACGTGAGGTGAGGAGCTTCCTGTAAATGTCAATCTCTCTTTTTATATAGTATATTATAATGCAGTATTTTTGTATTCCTAAAAACATTAGTATACTCATTGTAAGGGTGTGCATAAGTCTAGTTATTTCTGGGACAGTAGCCTTAGTCATCGGTGAAGGTCTTGGCAACCCCCAAAATAACTACTTTATGTTTCTACGTAGTTCCACTTGATAACTTACTCGAATCATACAGCTATACCATATTCACCAGGTAGATCAGGTACTTTAGACACCTGTTGAATGTTAAGGTCTAAACAGGTATATATATTATTGTAAATGAAGTATGAGATGTTGTTTTAAGACGAATATATTTCTTTGAGATCTAATACAAGAATTCTTAGGCCTGGTCTCTGTATAGTCCTGCTCACCCACACTTTTAAATTCTAATGTTTTATGTCCTTATTCTTGATGTCTTAAAATCTATATCATATGTATTTTTCCGTCTTTGTCGAGTAGTTGTGCAGACTCTCTGTAATTTTAGCCATGTGGTTTCTAACATTTTAATTTTGCTTATATACGTATGATGTGTGTATGTCCAATAACTTTCTCCGTCTCCTACAGTTGCAGAGAACCAGTCCATGCTCATCACGTAAGTCCGCAACTATACTTTTATACTTTCATACTAGCTTGTTTGTTTTGGTTCAGTTGACCAAATAGTTTTCTATGATATTTTTTTCCCGCAAGTTTCAATTTCTCCTTGTCAGAAAACAGTATCACCCTTCATTCGTTTTTTTTATCGTCATAAACAATTTCAATTTTTTTTAAATATATATTTAAACAATATCCAGTGCATATATTTACAGTATGTTTATGAGCAAAGTGTTTCATGACTCTGCAAATCTCTTATCCTAAGCATATGGTGATGGATATGTTCTTCCTCACCGTATTGTCGCATCACAAGGTGATTTAAACAGGTGATATGCTTTTATCACAAAATTACATAAAAAATTTAATTCAATTAAATATGCTCTCTAACCTAACGTATTTCCTACCACAGCGGTGAGTCTGGTGCTGGTAAAACAGAGAACACCAAGAAGGTACTCTCCTACTTCGCTAACGTCGGCGCCACCACCAAGAAGAAGGGCGAGGCAGAAAAACCTGTAAGATAATTACATCTTTTTCCATATTTCTCCGAACAAAAATAACAGATTCGTCGATAGTACATTCTAGTAATTTGTGGATATTATTTAATTTATCTTTTAATTTTCATGTTACTATTCATAAACAAATTCTGCTGTGTTTTCTCAACTTCGGGCGGAAATACATTATATGTAATACAAAAACGATAAACCGTATTATATCTATGATAAACGAATGACTGATCTTTGTCTTTCTCCCTACAGAACCTCGAGGATCAGATTGTCCAAACCAACCCAGTATTGGAAGCCTTCGGTAACGCCAAGACTGTCCGTAATGACAACTCCTCCCGCTTCGTGAGTGGGTCATCTGTCTTTGTTTACTTAATTAGAAAATTAAACTGGTTTTGATTAAAACTGCAGTAACATTTCGTACAATATAATATAGAGAACTTTGATCAAGTAAAATTTCGGTAATAAAAGACGCAATGTGTGTGGAAAAAATGACAAATCTTACTTTTCAAATTTCTTTACATTAACACCTGATAGTGACATTCGATGACCGATAGTTCTCATTTCTATGTCTTTTATCACTTAATGTATTTGTACTTCTCATTTTCTTTTACCATTCTATTTTACTTTACGTTAGATAACATAGTGAAGAGGAACGCATCCTTCTCAAATACTTATTCATTAGTATATGCAATTGAAACCTGATCATATATTCTGACTATTGAATTAGGCCATAAAAGCTTTTAGGATAAATTCTTAGTGTTGCTGTTGTCTCCAGACCATAGCTTAGTCAACAGATACCATCTCATTATGAAAGGCGATCATTCTATAATTTATAGACATTACTTCTTAAATTTTATAGCATGTAAGAGTTAATTTCATTCACTGAATAATTCCAGAAAACCAGAACAATTATTTCTTAATGTTTATCCACACACACAGGGTAAGTTCATCCGTATCCACTTCCAACCCAATGGCAAGCTGTCCGGTGCTGATATTGAGGTCTACCTGCTGGAGAAGGCTCGTGTCATCTCTCAGCAGTCCCTCGAGCGATCCTACCATATCTTCTACGAGATGATGTCCGACCAGATTAAGGAGATCAAGCGTAAGTATTCCTTCCAAAACGCTCAAAACACAGTGTCTTTTTTAAATAAATATCGTTATGTAAGCTTCTGTCAGAAAGAAGCTCGTCAATGTAAAACAAAATCTATTATCCATCTTCAAAAGTCACGATCTTGAAATAAATACGTAGAAAAATAAAGTATCTTCATAATACTAAGACAATCTACAAGCAGTCTTGCCATTTCTTTCTATATAACTCAGTTGTTTTTCATTTTAAGATAATTGTAGTGTCTTGCGAGCTCCTGTAAACCATTGACTTATAAATATTCTCATTGTATTCATCCCAGGACTAATTATGTTATTGAAAATTAAATGGAAAGTGAACTAAAGCTTTTTACCTGTGTTCTAATATACGCATTAATATATTATTATCTTTTTAAATGTACGGTAAAACTGAAAAATAAATTGTTAAATAAGAGACTTTTTATGATCTGGTTATAATTTCGTAGAGTCATTGCAACGCTCCTACGTTAAAACTTTTCATCATGCTATTCAATAGTAACTGAATGTAGCTTTATTTTACCTTACTTTAATAAAATCAAATAGAACGCAATTTATTATATGTTTGTCATCTTACTGGTCGTACTATTTATTTATTGCTTACAATTTATCTTCTCACTTTGTTCTGAATTATCGTGATGGTTATCGCAGAACTCAACACATCCAAAGCTAGAAATTTTCATATATATATACTGTATATATATATCGGGAAATTAGTCGACTCGACCGGCTGTAGCTAGAGGCAGTGTCTGTTCGGAAATTCAGTAATTACAACTTTTCTCCTGTAAGGTCTTATAAAGAAATAATGAAATTGCTCAAGTAACGCTCATGTTTACAATACTCACTGAACATCTTTAGTCACAGGTCACAAGTTTAATTCGTAATCTGAATAGAAGTAACAATTTATTTAGTTTAATGTTTTAATATACATTTTATACATCTTATATGCTTGAACAAATTTACTTAAGTATATTATTGTATAAATTCATATTATGACCAAAAATTTAAATATCCAAGATATACAGGACAGTGACTGAAAACTTGATGTTATTGTGACAACAAATTCTCTCCAACCGGAATGTGAAATGAAAAAGTATTTCACATACAGTATATCTGTGAATGCTGCCACAATTATATTTTGGGCACTCATAGGGGCCGATATTATGCTCTGGCCTAATTCCTTAAACCAAACAGAATAATGTAATATAGATTGAAAATGAGGACACTCTTGTTGGACTTTCAATATTTTACTCCAAAATTTCTACTTCCTCTGTCTCCAGCCACGTGTTTCCTTAGTGACGACATCTACGATTATCACTACGTGTCTCAGGGCAAGGTCACCGTCCCCTCCATTGATGACGGCGAGGACATGCAGTTCTGTCACGTGAGTGGTAGAATCTGATGTGAATAAGGCCCTCACCACCATCGATAGAGTATGGAACTCTTAATCGATGGTCCGTCACTCATGTGTTTGGTTGAAATATCGGAGGATGTTAAGACAATCGATATTCGCCCTACTTTTTATAAACGTACTCTTCTTCACAATAAATGTTTTAATTCTGCAGTCCAAAACTGAGAAGAAAACAGTCGGACTGGTGAAGGATTCGCTGCCTTGTACCCTCTTCTACTTAATACTCACTCTCACATGATTCCCGTATTTAGAAATAAACTAAACTAATATTTAACTAATAAAGAAACTATACTTCAACAGTGAACAGCAAATTTAACAAATTAAGTATTATGTCTTTCATTCCAGGGAGACAAAATGTTCTCACTACCGATCATTGAGCAGAGCACTGCTGTGTCCTGGCATGGTGGGAAATTTATAGGACATATTACAGATTCTCGGCAAAAAAGGCCGTAATTAGCAAATTGTTTAACATTATAATTCCATTTTTCATTCTTGACACACCATCTAGAAATACAATCATTTATAATTATGAAATTTTCATATATTTTAATATTATATTGCATTAACGAGGATGAGGTTCAGTTTATTATTTGCCATTTATTTACACTGAATCCCTCCGATCTATATAGTGAAGGCCAGATATTACCTCATTGTTTCTACTACTGTACAAGTTTTGAGGCAGTGTTCACTAATATTTCAGTGTTGAGTCTTGAAAACCTGTAGATAATAAAGGCAAAATGATCTAAATACAAACTAAATAAACTCAGATACAAAATATCGTAATAGAATGCGGCAAAATAATCCCCAGACTGGAAATGGAAAACAAATTTCACATTAGAACCGCAAGTTTGGTTAAGTTAGGTTGGGAATAGTTTGATCAAGTTTGGAATAAGATTGGTTTGGGGTCGTTTAGATTTAGTTAGGTTAAAATAGGAACATTTGGATTATGTTTGCTGTAGGGTTGGTTAGGAAAGAAATGGGAGCGTTTGGGTTCTTTTACTACGAGGTATGAATTGTTAAAGTATGGTGCTGGCTGAGACGAGTTGCGACCAGACCCACTTCAACAGGGACCACCTGAAATTAACTAACCTATCGCTGACTTAATCTAACCACTCTAACACTCACCTAATTTCACCACCCTAATGATAATAATTGAACCTAACCACCCGTAATACTAAGCTAACTTATCCATCGTATCTCTAACTTAACCTAACTTAATCCACCCTGTTAGCGCCAAGGTGGTTAATCTTCATATGAAATAAGATGAAGTGTCTAATATTCTGGTGAAGTAAGCTGGGGTGTTTATTCTTCGGGTAAAATAAAATGAGGTATCTAAGCTTCAGGTGATATAAGGTGGGGTGTTTATTCTTCAGGTGAAATATTCTGGAGTGTCAAATTTTTTTAGGCAAAGCTTCAACAGTAATGAGGAAGATGCCACACAAAGAAAGTCAGTCATTCTGTTTGAGTGCATTTTCATATTCATAATTCAATACCATCAATGTCCCACAATCATCATATTATAGACCATTAGTAATTGTTGTTGTTTATGTCAAATACTGAAGGACATTAATGTTCGTAGCTTTGGTTCAAGAATTAATATTTTTTTAATAAAAATATGTAAGTAATAATAATTTAATTGAGAGATCCCGTTGGTACCACAATATTAAGTTACTCGTATATACAGTAATACACTATATTTACAAGTTATTCAGTCGTATCAATCAGGAAACACTTTTAATTCGCCGTACGCATCCTCCCGGGTCGTGTTTTTCACCCGGAAGTCTTAATGGAACAGGAAGCAACACCAGGAGATGGCCGTCACGGGGCTGTACTATTGATATTAGCAATTATTTTAATCAAGATTTTCCACCCAATTCATCTTATTTTCCTCTTTCAACTTTAGGACGCCTTCGACGTCCTGGGCTTCTCCAAGCAAGAAGTTGAGGACGTCTACAAAGCCACTGCCTCTGTCATGCACCTGGGTGAAATGAAGTTTAAGCAGAGAGGACGCGAGGAGCAGGCTGAAGCCGACGGTACTGAGGTAAGCATGTCATTGCACACTCAGTAAACGATCTAAAACATTTCTTATACTTATAGTATTAAGCTTATTTCAGACTTGTGTCCAGTAGTTTGACCCCAGACCTTATTAAAAATGTTCTCCATTAGGTTGGTCACAAGGTCGCCAAGCTGCTGGGCACTGATGGTGATGACCTGTACAGGAACATTACCAAGCCCAAGATCAAGGTCGGTGCCGAGTTCGTAGCCAAGGGCATGAACGTGAACCAGTGTTATTACTCCATCGGTGCCTTGGCTAAGGGTCTCTTCGATCGCGTCTTCAAGTTCCTGGTACAAAAGTGTAACGTGACTCTTGAGACTGGCCTGAAGCGAGCTTCATTCATCGGTGTGCTTGATATTGCCGGCTTCGAGATTTTCGACGTAAGTAATTTCGAAATGTACTGACTATTATATACTGTATATATATATATATATATATATATATATATATATATATATATATATATATATATATATATATATATATATATATATATATATATATATATATATATATATATATACATATATATATATACAGTATATATTAGACATAATTAGTTTGCATACAAATATGAACAATTACATCTTGAATCGGTAGTTAAGTTAGAGTAATTATTCATATATTTTTATGTATAATCATATATCCTCATGACTTTTATAGTTCATAAGAATAGTTGACGAGTATTTGGAGTTGTTTTTGTTTGTATTTGTGAAGTTGTTTACATGAAAAGCATACCAAAGAAATTTATTTAAATGCAGAACATCTTCCAAATTCAGGGAAATATAGATAATTAGCGAGGGAGTACTATGTTGGACATGAGAATATCAGTGATTCTTCATAACATTAAAGCTCGGGAATATAAATAAGAGGCCATTTCTCTTGACTGGTGATATCTGGAATAATTTTTGGTCGAATTTGTTCAACTTTCTTTGTAGTTTGTCATCCAAACGCAGTGCCTCCTAACGATTCATTGCCAGTTCTATAAGTTCTGTCATCTTCCATCAGTACAACGGCTTCGAGCAGATCTGCATCAACTTCTGTAACGAGAAGCTGCAGCAGTTCTTCAACCATCACATGTTTGTGCTGGAGCAGGAGGAATACAAGAAGGAAGGCATCAACTGGGTCTTCGTGGACTTCGGTATGGATCTGCAAGCCTGCATCGAGCTCTTTGAAAAGGTGATAGTCCAACACAAAAAACATACACTGATACTGCACGAGAACTTGTTATTAGCTTTACTATTTTTTTTAAGTACTTGCCACTTTCCTAACGCTTTTACGTGAAATTTCAACAGAAAATGGGTGTCTTGTCCATCCTCGAAGAAGAGTCTATGTTCCCGAAGGCTACTGACAAGTCTTTCGCTGAGAAGTTGAACGCGAACCACCTTGGCAAGTCCCCTGTGTTCGTCAAGCCTAAGCCACCAAAGCCTGGTCAGCCTGACTCTCACTTCGCCATTGTTCACTACGCTGGTACTGTCAGCTACAACCTGAGTGGCTGGCTCGAGAAGAACAAGGATCCCCTCAACGACACTGTTGTTGACCAGCTCAAGAAGTCCAACAACGAACTTGTCGTTACGATCTTCGCTGACCATCCCGGCCAGTCTGGAAGTGGTGATACTAAAGGTAATAAGTACGAAAATAATTGTATCCTGAAGTTTTTCATAAGCACTACTTTCAACAATACTTTAATGTTTCGAGAAGACTTTTTAATCATTAGGATATGATATCTTTCATTACCACATCCAGTACTTATAAAATATATGACAAATACACATCTTGTGGCGGACTCTGGTGGGATAAACAGTGGAGTAATTGGCTTCCTTACGAAATTAGTTATTCAACTTCTAGGTAGATGGTTGAAATATTCGCCCCTTGTCTTAATTCATTCTTAGGCTTAAATAAACTCGAGAAATAGCATCTGTGATCTAACTCAACTATTTATCTTTAAGTGTGAAATTACTTAGTTTTAGATTCATAAAAACTACTACAAAATTATACTGTACAATACACCATTTCTAATATAGAAATCTGCTTCTCATAGGCGGTCGCGGAGGAAAATCTGGTTCTTTCAAGACCGTGTCGTCTGGATACAGGGTAAGTATATTTAGAGTATTGTACTTGAGTGTTTCCTTCCCATGTTCCTTGAAACTTCCTAAAACGTCTGTTTATAAAACCAAATTTTAGACATTTCACCCAGAAAATGAATCATCCAGTTCTATTTCATGATTCAAACTTATAAATTTGATGAGAAACTGCGGCAGGTGTTTTTTTTAAGTGAATATTTAGAGTATGCACACGGCTGCCATAGTTGTGTGTGAAGTTTAGTATATAGGGTAAAGTGAACTAATTACGCACACTCATAAGAAAAACAAATATTTCCCAACTCTCAATTTTGATCATCCTATGATTTCGCATTATATATGAAATCTTAATGTAGACACCATATCTTGGAGGCCGCTCTCAGAGATATCTTCAAGACAGTTCATGGATCGTCCAGTGGTCAGGAGGTTCTCTTATTCCAACGGTTCCAAAAGAAGTGGCAGAGGGTCAAGACCGTAACGATGGAACGTCACGTCAGTGCAGTGTTCAAGGAAAACCCTGATTGGTTACAAGGAACTCTCGACATCTACATGAAAGCTCTCTAGTGGACGTAACCTTGGGACGACTACCTCCGACTTCTGGAGCTTAGCGTGGTCTTCCTGGATGGGACACCCCCCCCCACGACCCCGAGGGATTCGATTTGGACTGCATGGCCCCATACACCACGCTTGCTGGATGTCAAAGGCAATATACTGTCTCCGAGTCTTCATGTTTCAACTCGATTTCCAGCTGTCAATCAAGGAAGAGAAGGCCATTCTCACCATGACCCTCTTTGTTGCTCGTGTCGACGGACCGAACAACGACCTCAAGCAACCTCATAAGTACGGAAAAAAATGGATGGAGCAGTTGGTGCGGCAGTCACACAAGCATTCCAATGACATATGTGGTATTTGAGCGAGGAGTTGGTGGCTCTGAATCTATTCAGCGAAGTGGTTTCCCATGTTGAGAAGAGAGAAATTCTGGAGTCGATGTGGGAAAGGGGAGGAGAGGGAGATCTACCGAAGAGAATCAAAGTGCCAGAAGAGGACATTCCTTCACTGGTGCTGAAGAAGCTTGGATCCAAGAACTTTAACTGCTCCTTCCAGACTCCGCTCCGGGGCTCAGGATTCATCTCCATAGATCCATCCCAATAGGGATGATCACAGTTCTTCCAGTCCAAGGAAGTCCTTCCGGAGATGTGGGTAGTGAACAATGTGGCTGACAGAGGGTGAAGCTAATCCTGGATTATAACTCTTCCATTTCCTGCTTCAGGTAGTTGCTGAACATCGACGCCAGTTTCGTAACCCAAAAGAACGCTAACCTTCCGTAATCGTGGGGACTGGAGAGTTGTTGTCCTGTTATCAACCAATGTTGTTTAGCTTCGTTTTGGCTCTAATTTGTTAATTAATTTACTAAATAACAATAGACACACAGATAAGTATTACTCGTGTTTCAATTTTACAGGACGAGAATCGTTCTATAAGGGAAGGAGACCGTGCAAATGCGAGCTTATCTTGGCGTGTGCATACCCTAAACAAAGTCGTAATGGTCTAAAATTTGGCCTGCAGTGTTATGTTGGGGAAAGAAAGCAAATAAACACTGAAAACCCCCAAAAAATAAATGACTTCGATTTTGTGGACCACTATAATATTAGTTTAGGCAGCATTTACTCTGTGTCTTGCCTGGAAATATATATTTTTTCATTCACAGCCATCATGGCTTTTTAGGAAATAATACAAATATTGACTTTTTATTAAATCACTGGGAAGGTCTCCATTATAGTACAGCATATAGAATTACATCAGACATTTTATCCCATTCTCGTCCATTTATTTAATAAATTCTACTGGAAGCTGATCAAACCCACATAGCTTTATCATTTTTCATTTTGCTCACACCTGCCACAACTTCTGTTTCCAGAACTGACATTTCGAGTTTTAGTTCCTTTTGCTTTCTTACCTCTACTTTAACAGTATCACTATACAGTTCTTCATATTCTGTCCATCTTAAACATTATCACTGTACAGTTCTTCCTACTCTGTCCATCTTAAACATTATCACTGTACAGTTCTTCCTACTCTGTCCATCTTAAACATTATCACTGTACAGTTCTTCCTACTCTGTCCATCTTAAACATTATCACTGTACAGTTCTTCCTACTCTGTCCATCTTAAACATTATCACTGTACAGTTCTTCATATTCTGTCCATCTTAAACATTATCACTGTACAGTTCTTCATATTCTGTCCATCTTAAACATTATCACTGTACAGTTCTTCCTACTCTGTCCATCTTAAACATTATCACTGTACAGTTCTTCCTACTCTGTCCATCTTAAACATTATCACTGTACAGTTCTTCATACTCTGTCCATCTTAAACATTATCACTGTACAGTTCTTCCTACTCTGTCCATCTTAAACATTATCACTGTACAGTTCTTAAACATTATCACTGAACAGTCTTCCTACTCTGTCCATCTTAAACATTATCACTGTACAGTTCTTCCTACTCTGTCCATCTTAAACATTATCACTGTACAGTTCTTCATACTCTGTCCATCTTAAACATTATCACTGTACAGTTCTTCCTACTCTGTCCATCTTAAACATTATCACTGTACAGTTCTTCCTACTCTGTCCATCTTAAACATTATCACTGAACACATCTTCATACTCTGTCCGTCTCTCTTTTACTTATTGTCTTTGCTTTTAATAATCCCATCCCATTTATTTTCATTTTTTTTCTGGTTCATTTTTTAATCTTTATTTGCATTTCCCTATAAATATGCCTTCTGTCATCATCTTCAATCTCCTTGCATTTCCTTTTTAGTTCATCTTTGTTGGTCTGTCTGCATTCCCTTTCAATTTCTTTGTTAATTTTAATGTAAGCCTCACTTCGTTTTCTTATATATCTTCGTCTTTATAGTTTTCTTTAAAATTTAATTTGTCACCCACTCTCTCTTAGCCTCGTTCCTCCTATGTCTTATAAATTTTTCTCAATCACTATTATTACTTCTTTGTAATTATTAAATTGTGGTCCTTGTCCTTTGTTTATCAAAGTCACCCAACTGATTTTGTCGACTTTTATTTTTTTTTTTTTTTGAAGTTCTAGCCTCACTAAACTCATTACTGGGATGTGGTCTGACCCACAATCTGACCCACATTTTTTACGTAAGCGGCAGTAAAATGTAGTTTGTAGCTTCCAAAATTTAGTTTTGGGTGAGTTATGTTATTTATAGTTACCTGAATAACTGCCTTGTATCAACTAACCTCATCCATGATGTTCTCACCCACAGGACCAGTTGAGCAACCTGATGAGGACCCTCAACTCTACTCACCCTCATTTCATCCGTTGTATCGTCCCCAACGAGACCAAGTCTCCTGGTAAGTTGAGTGAGGTGTAACTTAATATACACTGTTATTGCCATGTGCATTTTCTGACAATTCTGAGAAAAATCCAGAAACTCTCTCCAATTTTCTTTTCCGGGTCTGGGGGCAAATTCCAAGGATGAAACAATGTGCAATTTCTTGAAAATTCCGAGAAACTTTTCCCACTACCGGGAAAAATTCCTGAGAAGGGGGATTTTTCTTGGTTTGAGAGAGTCGTTTCGCTACCCAGAATTCTCTCATTCCCAGAAGTCCTCTGCACCGATTGTCCGGCTAATGGGGATGTCACTTAACAGTAAAGAACTTTTTCAAGAATTGACACCTAAATTAATTGATAAGCCAGGCAAAATATCTTCGGTATAATTATATGTAAAAATTTTGTTTCTACAACTTAACACAATGTAATATATACTGCAATAAAAATTTATTCAGGATCTTCACAATAATAAATAAAAAAAACTATGACCATGTTACCTTGAAACATACTCTTCTCAGTGGCGACTGTATATGCATTACCAACAAGCCTTTCTTATTCATACCTGTCTTTCTATTTTTTTATTTAGTAACTATAATCTATTTAAATACCTGTTAAAAATGTAGGTAAATGTATAACATAACTTACTTGTACGGTGAATTCAGGATAAAGATTTACTTTCTTATGAGTGATGTGACGCTGGGTTGAGTAAATGGTTCGTAAGATAGTCTGCAGCATTTGTTTTATCGTTGAATTTTGGAAAACTAATTGCATGTTTCATTTGTCTTTTGAAAATACTTCATGAATGTTAAGTTTGAAATGTATTACTGTATCTTTGAATAATGGTTTTCTTCCAGCGTTGTTCTATAGTAAATGTTGTTTTTAAAGATATTAGAAAATTTGTATACAAAGATAAATATTTTTCTTCGTATACATAAATGGATGCCGTAAGTTTAATAATAGAAACGTCTCGTGATTACCTCGAGCATAGTTGCTGGTATAAAACTAAGAAATACGAGGGCTTATCACCTTCATGCCTATATTGTCATCACTCTACTCACCATAAGAAACAATGAAGTATCTTTGTTAATGACTCAATATATATCATTGTTTATAACACATTAAGGCCCAGATAAGAAGAAATATTCGAATGTCATTTATAAACTTCTATTCTGAAGAGGATCAGAACTAGTCTCAATTATGTACATTATCTTTTCCTCTCAGGTGTGACTGACGCCGCCCTGATCATGCACCAGCTGACCTGTAACGGTGTACTTGAGGGTATCCGTATCTGCCGCAAGGGCTTCCCCAACAGGATGTTGTATCCTGACTTCAAGAACCGGTATGTTATGTTATTGTGTTGATATTTATATATCATATTTTCATGGAGTTATGCATAAAAAAGTAAACATCCAAATAATGTCAAATGAAAAATAAGGCAATTTCAATAATTCATTAATTTCTCATTAATGCAGATAATTTAACAGACTCCTTAACACCATGTTCAGTATATTTAGGAGGACTTGTTATATAGTACGACGGGGTAGAATGTCTCCTTCAGTTTTGTGATATTTTTGTTAAGTTAAAAAATATACACTGTGTGATCTTTCTATGTGTGTCTTCTGCCGCAGCTACAAGATTTTGGCCTCTCAGGAGATGGCTGCAATCCCTGACGATAAAAAGGCCGCCAAGGTTTGCTTCGACAAGGCTGGTCTGGACGAGGAACTTTACCGCCTTGGTAATACTAAGGTACTGCTTTATGTCACTACCTCAGTCACTGTGAACATATGTTAAATAAACAAAACGCTTTGTATTTACTTCTGTTTTGATCTTCATAGACGCAGTGTATAGGATTCACCAAGAGTAAATGTCAAAATATAATTTTATATTTTTACCAACATTATTTCCCTCGATATCAATCGATTTTTTTCTTGAAAGCAAGTAATAAAATATTAATTAATATCAAAGTTACACATAACTGCATATGCAGTCAGGCAGTGAAAATGTTTAGGATAAATTGCTGCTGTATATTATGAAAAAATCATAAATTTCAATTGTTAATTTGATCGATTCTATTAAAAAATAATTGTATTATGTAATTTTTTTTCAGCCAGAGCTTTTGTTTGCTCCCAAGATTATTCTTAACTGTGAATCTTATTTTGAAAGGTGTTCTTCCGCGCTGGTGTCCTGGGTACTTTGGAGGAAATTCGTGACGACCGCCTCGGCAGAATGGTCGCCTGGCTACAGGCTTGGATCCGTGGGTTTATTGGCCGAAAGGAATACAAAAAGCTCCAGGAGCAGCGCCTCTCTCTTGAAGTTGTTCAGCGTAGTCTAAGGAAGTTCCTGAAGATGCGTACCTGGCCTTGGTTTAATCTCTGGCAGAGGGTCAAACCCCTCCTCAACGTCACTCGTGTCGAGGATGAGATGCGCGCTCTTGAGGAGAAAGCTGCCAAGGCTTTGGGGGAACTCGAAAATGAGTCCAAGCTGCGTAAGGAGCTTGAGGCAGCCAATCTTCTGCTCCTCGAGGAAAAGAATAATCTTTTGCTTACACTGGAAAGCAGCAAAGGCAATATGAGCGAATTCTTGGAGAAGCAAGCTAAACTACAAACCCAGAAGAGAGACCTTGAATCTCAGCTTGAAGTAAGGGTCCTTAGGGATATAAGTGTGTGTGGGGGGGGGGGGGAGAGTATGTGAAGGAGGGAGAATATGGGCAGCAGAATATGCAGTGTGTGTGTGCGAGGTAGGGTGAGTTGCTTGAGCATAAATTTACCATTAAAAAATGACAAATTCATTAATAATTGAACTGCTGTTGTCTAATCACTCTGCCTATAACGACGTCATTGTTTTAAACATTTGATTAGAGAAATTAATTCTAATTTTTGTGGATGCAAAATTTTGCAAAAGATTCATAACTTAGCATAATAAGACAGATATAGAGAGAAAACATATACTACTTCAAAATTATATTCCAGATTACACTTTGTGAGTTAATCATACGCAATTTTGTTTAGTTTGGTAATTACTTTTTGCTTTGCAATGTAACACTTACTCAACCTTAACCAGTGATCTAAATACTGTGCCACGATTATCATCAGGACACTGCTGAACGTCTACAAAAAGAACAAGAGGACAGGAGTGCACTGTATCAAAGCAAAAAGAAAGTGGAACATGACATCCAAGTCTTAAAAAAAGAAATTGAGGATCTGGAGGCGACCGTCCACAAGGAACAAGGAGAAAAAGCAGGGAAGGATCACGCGATCAACACCCTCACGGAAGAGATCTCCCACCAGGAAGAACTTATCAACAAAGTAAAGAAAGAGAAGAAACACCTTCAGGAGATCAATCAAAAGTCTGCCGAGGACAACCAGAGTGTCGAGGATAAGTGTAATCATCTCAACACTGTTAAGGGTAAACTCGAGCAACACCTTGATGAACTTGAGGATTCTCTTGAACATGAGAAGAAGTTGCGAGTCGATGTTGAAAAAGTGAAGAGGAAAACGGAGAGTGACCTGAAACTCACCCAGGAATCTGTCAAGGAACTTGAGCGCAGTCGAAAGGATCTCGAGCAAGCCATCGACAGGAAAGATAGGGACTTTTCCTCTCTTGCCAAAAAACTTGATGATGAGCAGCAACTTGTTGTTAAGCAAAATAAACAAATCAAAGAATTGCAGCTCCAAATTGAGGAGCAAGAGGCAAGAGTCGAACACGAGCGCCAAGCTCGCGCCAAGGCTGAGAAAAATAAACAAACAGTATCACGCGAAATGAGCGAGCTTAGTGATCGTCTCGATGAAGCTGCCGGAGCCACGGCGGCACAAATCGAGCTCAACAAGAAGCGTGAGACTGAGCTAGCCAAGCTCCGCTGTGAATTTGAAGAGAATATCATTCGACATAATTCTACAGTCCACCTTCTCCGCAAGAAGCACAGTGACACTGTGGCTGATATGTCTGAACAACTGGAACATGTCAACAAAGTGAAGGCCAGGCAAGTTTTGTCATTGGTGATATAAGGAACATTTGTTTTGATTATTTAGTTGGACTTTGATGATAAATATCTATACGGATTTGTTTCTTTAAATGTGTCTTAGTCAAATTAATTAATGCTGCTTTTCGTGCTTATTTATTAACACATCTTTTGCACAATTAGGTTGGAGAAAGACAAAGAATTTATGAAACGTGACGCTGATGACGCTAAAGCCGCCATGGACAGACTCGCCAGTGACAAGGTGAGTCAACATCCATAAGTCAAAAGGTATTGTGTGTTACTAGATGTTATCATATGATACCTGGTGTTATGACGTGTTATCTAATCTTGTTGCATGTTATCTGGCCTTATCATGTGTTTTCTGGTGTTATTATTATCTGATTTTGTCAATTGTTATTGGAGTTAGCAAATATTATCTTGTCAAATGTTACCTGGTGTGTGTTATAAGTGATTTGTTTTGTTACCTGGTTGCTATCATGATATCTGTGCCGTGTTTTAGAATCATCATGGTATACAGGAGTTGCATGTGTAGAGTTTTAATGTCATATAATGTTATTATATAATGCTTGCATGTGCTTTCTTGGATATCCTTATATAATGGGTGTTATGTGGAGTTACAATACACGTGGTGTCTCATATGTGTTATGTGGAGTTATAATACACGTGGTGTCTCATATATGTTATGTGGAGTTATAACACACGTGGTGTCTCATATGTGTTATGTGGAGTTATAATACACGTGGTGTCTCATATGTGTTATATGGAGTTATAATACACGTGGTGTCTCATATATGTTATGTGGAGTTATAATACACGTGGTGTCTCTTATATGTTATGTGGAGTTACAATACACGTGGTGTCTCATATGTGTTATGTGGAGTTATAATACACGTGGTGTCTCATATGTGTTCTGTGGAGTTATAATACACGTGGTGTCTCATATGTGTTATGTGTAGTTATAATACACGTGGTGTCTCATATGTGTTATGTGTAGTTATAATACATGTGGTGGCTCATATATGTTATGTGGAGTTATAATACACGTGGTGTCTCATATATGTTATGTGGAGTTATAATACATGTGGTGGCTCATATATGTTATGTGGAGTTATAATACACGTGGTGTCTCATATGTGTTATGTGTAGTTATAATACACGTGGTGTCTCATATGTGTTATGTGGAGTTATAATACATGTGGTGGCTCATATATGTTATGTGGAGTTATAATACACGTGGTGTCTCATATGTGTTATGTGTAGTTATAATACACGTGGTGTCTCATATGTGTTATGTGTAGTTATAATACAGGTGGTGTCTCATGTGGGTTATGTGGAGTTATGAAACCTATGATACATGTAGTGTCTCAGATGTGTTACGAGGAGTTATAATAATAATAATAATAATAATAATAATAATAAACGGTCTATTGAAAAGCATAGCGGCCAGAGGCTGAATATATATGATGGATAAAGATGTTTTACAGTATTAGGTATAGAGGCATTGGGGGGGGGGGCGAATTATTTAAAACAAAATATAGAAATGAAAATTTAAACATGGACTGAAATATAAATTATCTATGAATAACTGATAATATGATGTTGTAGAAGATCTCATGTGGTTGTAGTACTTCTCTCTCCGGTGGTGTTATAGAGGATCTCATGTGGTTGTAGTACTTCTCTCTCCGGTGGTGTTATAGAGGATCTCATGTGGTTGTAGTACTTCTCTCTCCGGTGGTGTTATAGAGGATCTCATGTGGTTGTAGTACTTCTCTCTCCGGTGGTGTTGTAGAGGATCTCATGTGGTTGTAGTACTTCTCTCTCCGGTGGTGTTATAGAGGATCTCATGTGGTTGTAGTACTTCTCTCTCCGGTGGTGTTATAGAGGATCTCATGTGGTTGTAGTACTTCCTTCTCTGGTGGTGTTGTAGAGGATCTCATGTGGTTGTAGTACTTCTCTCTCCGGTGGTGTTGTAGAGGATCTCATGTGGTTGTAGTACTTCCTTCTCTGGTGGTGTTGTAGAGGATCTCATGTGGTTGTAGTACTTCCCTCTCTGGTGGTGTTGTAGAGGATCTCATGTGGTTGTAGTACTTCCCTCTCTGGTGGTGATGTAGAGGATCTCATGTGGTTGTAGTACTTCCCTCTCTGGTGGTGTTGTAGAGGATCTCATGTGGTTGTAGCACTTCCCTCTCTGGTGGTGTTGTAGAGGATCACATGTGGTTGTAGTACGTCCCTCTCTGGTGGTGTTGTAGAGGATCTCATGTGGTTGTAGTACTTCCCTCTCTGGTGGTGTTGTAGAGGATCTCATGTGGTTGTAGTACTTCCTTCTCTGGTGGTGTTGTAGAGGATCTCATGTGGTTGTAGTACTTCCCTCTCTGGTGGTGTTGTAGAGGATCTCATGGTTGTAGTACTTCCCTCTCTGGTGGTGTTGTAGAGGATCTCATGTGGTTGTAGTACTTCCTTCTCTGGTGGTGTTGTAGAGGATCTCATGTGGTTGTAGTACTTCCTCTCTGGTGGTGTTGTAGAGGATCTCATGTGGTTGTAGTACTTCCCTCTCTGGTGGTGTTGTAGAGGATCTCATGTGGTTGTAGTACTTCCTCTCTGGTGGTGTTGTAGAGGATCTCATGTGGTTGTAGTAGTTCCCTCTCTGGTGGTGTTGTAGAGGATCTCATGTGCTTGTAGTACTTCCTTCTCTGGTGGTGTTGTAGAGGATCACATGTGGTTGTAGTACGTCCCTCTCTGGTGGTGTTGTAGAGGATCACATGTGGTTGTAGTACTTCTATCTCTGGTGGTGTTGAAGAGGATCTCATGTGGTTGTAGTACTTCCTTCTCTGGTGGTGTTGTAGAGGATCTCATGTGGTTGTAGTACGTCCCTCTCTGGTGGTGTTGTAGAGGATCTCATGTGGTTGTAGTACTTCCCTCTCTGGTGGTGTTGTAGAGGATCACATGTGGTTGTAGTACTTCCATCTCTGGTGGTGTTGTAGAGGATCTCATGTGGTTGTAGTACTTCCCTCTCTGGTGGTGTTGTAGAGGATCTCATGTGGTTGTAGTACTTCCCTCTCTGGTGGTGTTGTAGAGGATCTCATGTGGTTGTAGTACTTCTCTCTCTGGTGGTGTTGTAGAGGATCTCATGTGGTTGTAGTACTTCCTTCTCTGGTGGTGTTGTAGAGGATCTCATGTGGTTGTAGTGCTTCTCTCTCTGTGGTGGTGTTGTAAGGGATCTCATGGTTGTAGTACTTCCCTCTCTGGTGGTGTTGTAGAGGATCTCATGTGAACTGATACTTCCTTCTCTGGTGGTGTTATGAAGGATCACATGTGGTTGTAGTACTTCCTTCTCTGGTGGTGTTGTAAGGGATCTCATGTGGTTGTAGTACTTCTCTCTCCGGTGGTGTTATAGAGGATCTCATGTGGTTGTAGTACTTCTCTCTCCGGTGGTGTTATAGAGGATCTCATGTGGTTGTAGTACTTCTCTCTCCGGTGGTGTTGTAGAGGATCTCATGTGGTTGTAGTACTTCTCTCTCCGGTGGTGTTATAGAGGATCTCATGTGGTTGTAGTACTTCTCTCTCCGGTGGTGTTATAGAGGATCTCATGTGGTTGTAGTACTTCCTTCTCTGGTGGTGTTGTAGAGGATCTCATGTGGTTGTAGTACTTCTCTCTCCGGTGGTGTTGTAGAGGATCTCATGTGGTTGTAGTACTTCCTTCTCTGGTGGTGTTGTAGAGGATCTCATGTGGTTGTAGTACTTCCCTCTCTGGTGGTGTTGTAGAGGATCTCATGTGGTTGTAGTACTTCCCTCTCTGGTGGTGATGTAGAGGATCTCATGTGGTTGTAGTACTTCCCTCTCTGGTGGTGTTGTAGAGGATCTCATGTGGTTGTAGCACTTCCCTCTCTGGTGGTGTTGTAGAGGATCACATGTGGTTGTAGTACGTCCCTCTCTGGTGGTGTTGTAGAGGATCTCATGTGGTTGTAGTACTTCCCTCTCTGGTGGTGTTGTAGAGGATCTCATGTGGTTGTAGTACTTCCCTCTCTGGTGGTGTTGTAGAGGATCTCATGTGGTTGTAGTACTTCCCTCTCTGGTGGTGTTGTAGAGGATCTCATGTGGTTGTAGTACTTCCCTCTCTGGTGGTGTTGTAGAGGATCTCATGTGGTTGTAGTACTTCCCTCTCTGGTGGTGTTGTAGAGGATCTCATGTGGTTGTAGTACTTCCCTCTCTGGTGGTGTTGTAGAGGATCTCATGTGGTTGTAGTACTTCCCTCTCTGGTGGTGTTGTAGAGGATCTCATGTGGTTGTAGTATTCTCTCCTGGTGTTATAGAGGATCTCTGGGTGGTGTTGTAGAGGATCTCATGTGGTTGTACTTCTCTGGTGGTGTTGTAGAGGATCTCATGTGGTTGTAGTACTTCCTTCTCTGGTGGTGTTGTACAGGATCTCATGTGGTTGTAATACTTCCCTCTCTGGTGGTGTTGTAGAGGATCTCATGTGGTTGTAGTACTTCTCTCTCTGGTGGTGTTGTAGAGGATCTCATGTGGTTGTAGTACTTCCTTCTCTGGTGGTGTTGTAGAGGATCTCATATGGTTATAATACTTCCCTCTCTGGTGGTGTTGTAGAGGATCTCATATGGTTGTAGTACTTCCTTCTCTGGTGGTGTTGTTGAGGATCTCATGGTTGTAGCATTCTCTCTGGTATGTGTTGTAGAGGATCTCATGTGGTTGTAGTACTTCCTCTGGTGGTGCTGGTAGAGGATCCCATGGTTGGTAGTACTTCCCTCTCTGTGTTGTAGAGGAATCCTCATGTGGTTGTAGTATTCCTACCTGGTGGTGTTGAAGAGGATCCTCTGGCATGGTTGTAGTACTTCCTACCTGGTGGTGTTGTAGAAGATCTCATGGTTGTAGCACTTCCTCTCTGGTGGTGTTGAAGAGGATCTCATGTGGTTGGAGTATTCTCTCTGGTGGTGTTGTAGAGATCTCATGTGGTTGTAGTATTTCTCCTGTCTCTGGTGGTGTGTTGTAGAGGATCCTATGTGGTTGTAGTACTTCCCTCTGGTGGTGTTGTAGAGTGATCCCATGTGGTTGTAGTACTTCCTCTCTGGTGGTGTTGTAGCGATCTCATGTGGTTGCAGTACTTCCTCTCTGGTGATGTTGTAGAGTATTTCACGTGTTGTAGTACTTCCTCTCTGGTGTGCTGAGAGGATCACATGTGGTTGTGGTGGCCTCTCTGGTGGTGTTGTAGAGGATCTCATGTGGTGGTTGCAGCATTCCTGTCTCT